TCCTCCTCCTCCTCCTCCTCCTCCTCCTCCTCCTCCAGATAATCTATTATTTAACTTAACCCACATCCTCTGTAACCCTCCCTATCCCTTTTCCCACAAAGGCACAAAGATAGTTGGATCTAGCAATCATTAAAAAAAAAAAAAATGCTGGAATCATATTTGCTTCCTATTTTGCAAAGGGTTCTTTTCTCTCCCTTTTTTTGTTCTTTTCTTTATATATACACATTATTCCTTATATAATGAGAACCTCCCCAAAAGCAACAACAAAAAATATATCAATTTTGTTAATATAACTGTTCCATAAATTCTCTCTCTCTCGCTCAAATCGCTCTCTTTAAAGGGTGGATCATGCCGTCATCTTTCCGTTGGTCCTTGATCGGGTCCGTGAACTTCTCTTGTGTAGTCTGCGTTTATAGGTGGAGGCTGTGGGAGGAGAGTGAGAAGAAAAGAGACCTTGTTACTCAGGAATGATGGCTACAGAGGCCCAGCTTGTCCTGAGCTAGATTGACTGAGCTTTTCCCTCCCTCTGGCTTGCGCTCTCCCTGTGGAAAAACACCACAGAGGCTGTAGCATGTTGTTTTTCTGGCTGCCCATGACGAACATGCTACAGTGCCAGATTCCTTGCTCTTGCACAGCTGTGCTTTTTCTTACCTTTGGGGCACAGGGAGTTGATGTATTAGTCAGATAGGGATTTCTTAGTGCACTTTGGAGCAGGTCCTGTCCCACCTGCCCCCTGTCCCTCCACCCCTCCTTCCCAAAACATTTGGGACTGCCAGAGAGATCAGGGATTGACAGAGAGAATTCTGTTCCTGTCCCATGGATGAGCAAGGGGGCTAATTTGGGGGGCCGGGTGGGTGAGGGAGCACCCGTAAATGAAGCCTTGTAATCATTAAGACTTATGGAAGTTTAAACTTTTGACTGTATGACTTAAAATGAAACAGGAGCTCCCCTTCCCTTTTTTATGTTGAAGGTAGAAAATGGTCCAAGACTTTCTTGGTGCCTAGAAATCTAACATCTGAAGAAGGCTATTCTACCATTTCTAATAAAAGAGCCAGCTCAGATGAACTATAAAGATCCATGCAACCTAGGCAGTTCTGGGGTGTAGCTCAAACTTTCCAGTTGGGTTAGAGTAATGTTCAGATAGACAGCCAGTTTGTTGTAGTGGTTAAGGCACCAGGCTAGAAACCAGGAGCCCATGAGTTCTAATCCTGCCTTAGGCACAAAGCCAGCTGGGTGACCTTGGGCCAGTCCCTCTCTTTCAGCCCTTGGAAGGAGGCAATGGCAAACCACTTCCGAAGTCTTGTCAAGAAAACTGCAGGGACTAGTCCAGGCAGTTTCCAGGAGTCAACAGTGACTTGAAGGCACATATACACACAAAACTGTTCAACAGCAATCTTACGTTGACCCCAGAGTGTACAACATTTGAAGGAAGGAAAAATTGCATGAATTGGGCAGAAAAATGATCCCCTCCTGCAGTTTAGGATTGTTCTTCTTCTTTGCCTCTTAGTTTCTCCAATATAAATCCATGCAGCAAAAGATCAGGCTTTTATCTTGTGGACTAGGAACTTCTTGTCTTTGTTCTTCTCCAAAATGCCATATTGTAAGTATTAGCAGACCAATGTCTGCTTCAGTTTGGAGTCTACACCCTACATCCATCTTTTTGGATGCTTTCTGGAATGGCCATGTGATGTGCAATGTGTGCTTACATGACCATTCCAGGAAATGTTGGGGGGAGAACATAAGGTTTGCACTAGAACTTCACATTCCCCTGCTACTGACCAATTGGCTGGGCTGAAAGGTTGAATTCCAGAACTCCTGGAGGCCACTAGTTTATCCTTCTTTAATTTATACTCATCCTGTCTTGTGAGTTCCTCTGCTTGCTCTCTGTTCTTGTACAATTCTGAGAAACCAAAGATTTATAGAAGTTTGCTGAGTACCATATGTTGGCCAAGAAGGACTTGCCAACTATTGGCATTCCTTTAATTAATTAAAAGACTCGGGGCTCAATTACCAGTCAGCTCTTGCAGTCCAGCTCGACTAGGAGACATTTGAACTAATAATCTCTGTAATATTAAAGCTACAGTCAAGAGCATTTCCCATGTATCAAGAGGTTTAATGGAGCAGCTTGAATGTTAGAATGAATCATCTGATCGTTGCTAACAAGGAAAGAAAAGCTAGAACAGAAATTTAGTACACAGGGATTCTTCTACCCCAATGCAGGCATTGTCTTAATTGAAAGCAGGTTTAAATCTCATTTGTGGAAAGTCTTTCAGGGAATTCCCTCCTAATTAAAAGAACATTACAAATGAGTAGGTGGTTGATGCAAATAGTATGAACAGGGTAGAGAGAGAGCAAGGAGTCTATTATAGTTCTAATTCTATCATAAGATAATATAGCATCTCTCCTTCGACAGAACTGCTTTGTTTTCTCCCCTAGTTGTCTACTTCACTTAGCCACCCAAGGCAAATTTTACCAAAACTTTATTTCCCCTTTTTTGAATCCAGAAATACATAATATAGATGGTTGCATCCTAGCTGGCTAGTCAGAACCCAGTCAGTTTGGTTTATAAACCATGGTCATACAAATCCAGACAATTAAATGAACCAATATAACATAAGGCATCTATCTAAACTGTTCGAATAAGAATTATTGTAAATTTCCATTGGGGCTGAAATACCCTCCCTCTATTTGTTAGAGGTGAAAGGGCTATGAGTACAAACTCTGTAAATTCACCAGAACACATTACGTACAATCTATACAGGCTATCCGCGGCTCTTCCCAGTGCCCGTTTGATTGGCATCGGATGGTGGGCACATGGCGCTGAATATAACCCTGATGGCACTGGTACCGCACCATGGCATTGATCTCATAGCGGTCCTTCTTCTTGCCAAAGTGTCTGGCATTCTCAACTGCAGGAGGGTCTCCACAGGCAACTGGTGGAGAAAAGGACATCTTTCAAATTGCTTTCTGCTCAAAGCATCCTTCAGTGAACATGATGCTCCTAGTTGCTACAATAATTATAGTCCCTGGTCACCAGCATCATTCTCAATGTTTATCATGGCCTCTTTGGATGAATCCTCTTCTGAAGAGGAGGGGAAAATAAGGGCTGGGTCAAGAATCTAGAAAGTCTGATCCAGCGGTGCTAGGGCTCAGATAAAAGCATTTTCTACTGCCTTTCATTTCTCAACCCTGTTCCAAAGCCACAACCTCCAGGATGCTTGAAGGACAGAGACAAAGGATGAGAGAAGGAATATCAGAGTGGTTGGAAGAACGTTTTGGGAACAGTGTTTTATTTGGGAATAATAGTGTACTCAGAAATCTGGTATTATTCTCAAGTAATCCTTTTTCTGCAATGGGTACAGGTTCTAATTGGGGAGAGATCATGGATGCTTGGTATAAACACAGTCAAGGGCCTGAAAACTTTCAGTATCAATATGACCTTGTGCCTGGACTCTAAACCATGTTAGTTTCCTGGAAATTCTGACTTTTACTTAGACCAGACAATACTTTGCTGCTCAATCCTGTGAATCTTAATTTTTCATGTTTAATTCTAAGTTTCAACCCCTGAACTTGACCTTATGTTTTGGCCCACTGACCTTACCATAAAAAGTGCTGCACTAGTTTTTGATCTGGTCTTGCTATTTGAGTGCCGACAGGATAATATTTAGCTGTATCCCAAAGTAACAGGGCAACTTTGAGGTGATAAGGCACTATAGTGGGAACTGAATCAGTGGTATGAACAATGTGACTTTGTTATAGAAGAAATTAAGAAACTCCTTAGATATTACAAAGAATATGTGATGGACACCAGGAGTGGCTTGAGAGAGACCTGGGGAAACAACTGCTTGGTGGCCACCAGCACTGTAACTAGTGGCTATGCCTAAATTTCCCATAGTGTCATAGTCCAATGTGGCATGGAAGCATTGTAGGAAATTTAAATGACAGACTAGCCCCAGTTATATGGTGCTGACTGAAACATTAGGCCAGAAACCAACAGCTTTGGAGAAGTGCTAAGACCTTTCCTTATTATCTCCAGAAGACATGGATTATGACCTTCTCAAATTGTCATCCCAGAGAGAAGAATGAAGATAACACAAGGCACGGAATAGGTTTAAATATGATGCAGAGAATTGTACCCAAATAATGCAGGTGCCATGGAGAAGTCCAAATGAAGAAATGCTAAATTACTTGGGAATAGCCTCATTATGTGGTGGCATCCTTGGAGTGAGTTATTGCTTCCAAGAAGCCCACTTCCTATAACGGGTTATGATTAGCATCTGCTGTACTTGGATCAGGGCCAGTAGCTTTCAATATTTCATTTTCAGCTGCTGGGACAGCCTGTCCTTGGATCTGCCATGTCTTTCCTCCAAGTCTTGCCTCACTGCATAATGCCCTTAATCATTGCTCAATCCTGACAGTGCCATACCACTCTATCCTCTGGACCTTGACTGCTCAGATGTAAGCCTTTTGCAGGGATAACCTTGGACTGTGACTGGACTGTGAGCCCTTTGGAGCAGGACATTGAGCCTCACCTGTTCCTTTTTTGCAAGTGAATGGGAGGTGATAATTGCAAGGGACGTCATTCCATTCACCCTTCTCATGCCAGATCATTACCACGCAGTCTTCGCCTTTGGCAAAAAAGTTATCCGGCTGGTTAGGTCGCCAGTTCTCGTATTGCTTAGAAAAGAGGAAAAGAAAGCCGGAATAAAACAGAGTCAGATGAAATGGGGGTGGAGGGAGAAGACATTAGATTTTCCATAGTTTTCCTTTTTAAAAAAAAGTTAGAAGCAGCTGCAAATTCCCCATAAGCAAGTCTTGCTCTATAATGCTGGAATTTGAGGGTCATAACCTGCTTCCTACTTAAGACTGCTCCAGTTTCCCACCAAACCTTCATTTTCCATTATGGATCACAAGCACCTTTGATGAAGGAGGGAAGGAATTTTAATGGGGGGAAATGCCCAATCCATCCTACCTTAGAGATGCCCAACCTTTTTTTGGACCAAGGACTACCTTGGCTTCTGAGTGATATACCAGGGCTACATTCCAAAAGGGGCAGTTCCAGGACATAAAAGAAGGGCTGGAGCCAAGACCAATACTGATTTAATTTGGTACCAATCTCAATATTATTAAAAATGAATAGACACAGTGAATAAGATAACTGTCTGTATATTTAATCATTCCCCTCCTTTAAAAACGATTATTTGGTGGATTCTGGGGGCTGCTCTAGGCAGATCTGGGGACTCAGGGAATATACTTCTAGAACAAGAATGGTGATTTGCATCCATGCTACAAAACATAGCTGCTTCCCATACTTCCTCCTGTCCATGTAGTGTTTCCTTATATTGGCATTCCCCAAGCTGGTGTCCTATAGGCACTGTGGGATTAGCCTGTTGGATTCCTGGATCTCTGAAGCACTGATTTCCCAGGAGTCCAGAAACATCTCTATATTTGATAACCTCCAGAGTCTAACTTACCAGAGAATGTCCATCAGACCAGCGGAAGTCGTCTTCCACAGCTCGGTCACTTAGCCCAATCCACTGGTAGTCCCGTGCATTGTCTAGAAAACACACCCAGAAAGAGAAATGAAAATGAATGCTGGCTTATTTGGAGGCAGAGGATGACTCCTCTGACTTTGAGCCTAAGAGCGAGGTTCAAACTAAGCTACGGAGCACTTCAAATTCAATGCAAAAAGGTGCTTTGGATCACCAAGGGTCACCCACGGCACCTGCCTACAATTCCTTAAAGCAGCCGCATCTTTTCGCAGGACTGCCCATCTGCCTCCTGTGTTACACCATGATCCCTGGAAAAGACATACACGGTTTAAGGAGTTACAGTGGGATGCTATGGCACGCCCCTGCAGACTGAAGCATCTTCTTGCTTTTGAACCCAAAGCACTGCACAGCTCTAGTTTAAGCAATGCTCAGATTAAATATGGAGCTCTTTCTTTCTTTCTTTCTTTCTTTCTTTCTTTCTTTCTTTCTTTCTTTCTTTCTTTCATTCATTCATTCATTCATTCATTCATTCATTCATTCAGTAAGTAATAATGAGGCATTTATTCCAGTTTAGTTTTATAACATATAGAGAAGAGGAGTGATTCAGTCTTCAGGCACCCTTAAAAATTCTTCATTGCCCTGGAAAGTAATTAATGATAACCTGTTGCTATCAGCAGCAATGGGAATGGCTTTATTATTGACACACAAGGGACAGTGATCTTTTTTGGTTGGGGAGAGGAATGTCCTACTTGGAGTCAAGCTGTATGTTAATTAACAGGATATGCAATTTGACCCTACATTCGGGGACCTATTGATTTTGCAAAAAACAAAACAAAACAAAAAATGGAATAATCTTTGAAAGGTCAGAGATAAAGACTCTGTCAAGCTCAGATCATCTCCTGCGGGCTTCGTGCAGACATCCATGCAGTTTTGTTAGCAGCCATAAAGAAGTGGTTTGCCATTTCCTTTCTTCTAGCCTAAACCATGCAATAGTTTGATTTTCTTCTTCCAGGTACTAGCCAGGTCTGACCCTACTTTTCCTGTCTGCCACCTACTGCAGAAAAAAGTCCATGCATGATCAACCCTGGTTTATTCTGGCAAGGTTTTCAGGTTACATTTCAGCACTGACAAGAATTTGAACAGATGGGTTTCAGTCAGTAATGAGCAGCACAGAATGGGAGCAGTTATCAAAAGACCCACCTTCACATGGATACCAAGCTGGATTTTATGTAGGGTGGGTGCTGAACATTCAAATGGAGGCCTCTAGCTATTCTTATGAACTATCAACCATAGGACTGTGCAAACCTTCAGTTTAGAAATGTGATTAGTCAATTGGAATATGAATTGATTTGAAGCGTCAAATTGGATGCCTCTGAATTGATTTGGATCTTAATCAGCAATTCAGGGCCTTTTGCATCTGTGGAAAAGCACTTGTTCCAAATCATTTCAGAAGTCTGAATTAGGTTGAGTCAGGTCTCTGAATCCATTTGAAGATCCAAATTACATTTTGGGTGATTTACAGACCTCTAATACACCATTACATTCACATCAAATAGTTTTCTAAATTGGTCCATTTTTCATTGCCAAGCCATGAATGGTCTTTTTAACTGGTATGTTTTTTATAGGAAAAAAAAATAGACATCCTTATACAGTATCAGTCATGGGCTATAGCCCAAAGTTGTAGTCAAATACCTGATAACCAGGACCATTTTATCAAGGAAAAAAAAATCAACTGCAATATCAAATGCAGATATTCTTAACTTTTCTGACATATTTTATTATGAAGTACTAGCTATTTTCTTTCTTTGTTAACTGCATATATTTGGGGAACCTTTCTTATTATACTTTACCTAGAAATGATTGATTTCTATATCTAATTTACTTGCTAATTGTGAAGATTTCTTTTTAACTGGACATATCTGATTTATATATTCCCTTGTATTAGGGATTTTAAAGCCTCCAATCTTATTGTTTGACATTCTCTTTAAAATAAAAATAAAGTCATTAAGATCTGAAATGCACGTTTTGCTGCTTGACCAAGTGTTATATAGAATGAATCCAACTATTTTGGCTGTTTTAGAGACATATCAACAGCAGCTGTTATTTTTAAAGCAAAAATACTATGAATTCAATAATCAACATCCAAATAGATTGAAAAAAGCAAGGGAAAGATAATTGATAAAATGAGTACAAGACTCTAAAGCCCAAATTTGTTACTCATCAAGAATATTAATGAAGAATTTGTCATTTTTTCCCCAAAGATGCATGTGCTTCAAAATCCCATAGTAGATAAAATTAATAATAATTGATATATTTTGAAGTTGCTTGGATGACATTCAATACTTAAATTCTTAAAAAAAAAACTCCCCAACTCCCCAAAACACCTTCCTCCATGACAGTAGCAGAGACTACCAGCAGTTTACAAATCACAGTTTGAGAACCTGTAGTCCAGTCTAGCTTGTCTTAAAGTCACCACTGAATATCACCTAAATATTTATTTATTTAACACATTTCCAATGCACCCAATTAACTGAAATTCTTTGGGTGGATTAGAACGTGATTAAAATAATAAACTTTTACTTCACAGAGATCTAATAGAACTTGAAAATATTGGGTATGAGAAAACTGAAAAGATTATTAAAATGGAAATACAAAAAATAAAGCAAGAAAAGGACTTGGACCAGGAGCAGTTGTGACAAGAAATCCTGACTGATGCTTTTTTACTGGATTTACAAAGTAGCTTGGTAAAGGATCTGAAGACTTGTTTGGAATGACAAAGATTGATAAAAGACCAAATCTTGTGACACCAGTGGAATGAATTAAAGAGCAGGATTGTGAAGCACAAAAGGAAGGAGTAGAAAGTTGGACTATTTGATCAGGGATAAATTATGTGTTTGACATTTCTGGTAGCTTCTAATGGACTGTTTGCTGAACCAGGACTGAAAAGATGGTGATTTCTGGATTGTGTATCAATATGAGTTAGGTTTTCTAAATAAATAAATAAAACAATTAAAGCCAGGATTCTCATGGCATTTGGAAGGTCAGTAGATTAAACGGTGGCCCTGTCAGCTGAAACATTGCCAACTTTGGATTTAACTCATCTCTTGGGTACTACAGCTCATGGTCATCATAATATAACACCAGTGCAATCTACTAAAATATACCAATTAAAGGCTCAGCCATGAAAAGTCAGCCTATCTAGACAATCCATTTCTCCTAAGTGAAATTCAGAATCAGTGTTGTAGCTCCCAGCAGTCCATTGGTTTGGGGGTATATATATATATTTTTTAGAAATTTCAAGTTGCCACACTCACTGTTCACAAACTCCTGCTCTTCAGGTGTGATGATACTGCTCAGGTGGGATTGATGTTCTCGGCACAGGTTCTCTGCATCCATCCAGGTGAGTTTTTCTTCAAAATGCTTGTAACAGTTACCTTGAAATTTGGTCCAGCCTGTTTCGCATTCTGCCAGATCTAGACATGGATACAGAAGGACTATGTGAACAAGAGTCAAAGCAGAGAGTGAAGTTTAACCCCTTCCAAATCTCTTTGTAGAAGGCTTGATGGTACTTGACTCAGCAGCTGGGTAAAACTTACCTGTTTCTTCAAAAACAAAGAATTACTGATTTTCTTGCCAATGAGTGCTATCACTTTGGCAAAAAATACTGAAGGTTGACAGAACTTATTAGAAGTGCCAAAATGGAGGGAAAAGTGTTTTACAGGCATCTGAAATTTAGAAGCTTCTATCTAGGGAAACATTCAGATTATGGGCTAGTAAAAAAAAAATCCTACAGGATATTTTTTAGTCCTGTACAACTTGGTTCATGTTATGGTGAAATTAATCCATACAAGTTTACTTAAGAGGGAATATGAAATTTTAAAAATTGATTCCATGTGCTTGTGTATTTGATTGTTGTGCCCTCTTGTGTATTTCCTCGTACACAAAGGGCACCCTAATTTTTTATATATGGATGCATTTAATCAATTTATATGGCTGCCCAACTCACAAATTGTGACTGTGGGAGCAATGATTGGTCTATAACAGATCAACAACAACAACAAAAATTAATAAAAATAACAGTAAGAACGTATACATCCAAAGTCATTCTCTTAAATCATAACAAACTGGGCTCATCTAGCCTCCTAGCCCAATGCCTGGGGAAAAGCCAGGTTTTCAAGGCCTTATGAAGGCCATCCAGGTCAGGACCAACTGAATCTCAGGGGTTATGCTATTCCATAGGGCAGGTACCATGCAGAGAAGACCTGCCACCTGATGGCATTGTTTCATAGAGGGACTTGGACCATGCCCACTATCTAGCATATACTAATTCATACTTATGTACTTTCTATTTGCATTTCATTGAGATACACAGTATTCATGTCATTTTTAATAAATAATCCTTCTAACTTTGTTCTGAAAGCAAAAATGGAGAAGCCTCAATAAATTTGATTTTGTCCTGGATCATATCAGTAATCAGAGATGAGCCTATATTTTCTATGAGGGAGACAGATGAATAGGAACCTTTTGTGAGGAGAGACAAAAGATGGACAGAAGCATAACATTATTAATGCTAAGTAGAATAGAATAAGTATATATTTTCTCTTTCCCTGTTTTCTACTTCTAAAAGTAAGTGCCCTTCTATATTAGACCAGCTGAAGGACCTAATATAAATTGCATGAAACACAGAGAGGTATTTTTGGCCCTGACCCAACTCCACACCTTTTTCCCATATTGAGGTGTGAAGCATTTTTGTCCCTCCATATTCACCATGGTGCAAAAAAAAAACCTTCTTGAATAATTCAGGTTTCCTTTTTTGTGGGGAGGCTTCTAAAAGCTGTTAGCCAAACGTGTGTTGAAGCATTCCTATATTGTTGTGGCTTGCATTTTAATACAAACCAGTCTATCTTTCAAGACAAAGCAGAATGCAATTATCCGTCTGTTTTCTTGTAACTCCAGATTCTGCCACACAGCTCTGATCAAGAAATGTATAACGAAATAGATGCTTAGGGAATGAAAGGTACCAAAGGAGGAAGCACTTGAATAAAATGCATATTTTCAGGGAAAATTGCCTATAACAAAGGATATGATTTTTCAAGTGGCAGTTGTAATTGAGGTTGAGGGAGACTAGCATATGGATTTAGCTAAAAGGTTTTCTTTGCTTACTAAAAATGTTAAAGCAAACAACCAGGTGTCTTAGAGCTTCAGAGAGAGACACAAAACACTAGAATGGGGATTGGTTCTGCTTTTGGGTAACAGTGTGACAACAAACAACTCCCTTGCTTCCTGCCAGGGTCCCTATCCCACCAGCTTTTATCCTTTTAAAACAAACCTGTTAATTAAATAAGAAAAGGGAAGGCCAGCTTTTATTTCCAACAGTAGATATTGCCATCCTGGCCATGTAGACATTCTTAGAAAACAAATATGGTGGATGACAGCAACCCACTGCTTTATTTGAAAGTGTGCCCCTCTGTCCAGAAAAATGGACACAGGCATGCTGGGAGCATCCTGTCTGTGCTTGCTATTTTGTAGTCGTGCTTATTTCAACTGTGGTCATCAGCCCCAAAGTTGGAGGACCTCTAGCTCAAAGAAGTGATCATAGAGATAGTCCTCACCTACCAACCACAATTGGGACTGGTAACTCTGCATTCCACAACTTGCATCCCACAACTCTCCGCATCCCACAACTCTCACATGACTGTGACTTGTGACTTCCTGCCAGCTTCCCCATTGACTTTGCTTGTCAGAAACTGGCTGTGAAGGTCACCAATGGCGATTGCATGACCGAATTGTGATCATGTGACTGCGGGGACACTGCGACAGCCCCAGCTTTGAGGACCGATTGTAAGTCTCCTTTTCAGCACCATTGTAACTTTGAAAGGTTGCTGAACAAGCGGTCGGTAAGCGAGGACTAGCTGTGTTAAAAGGTAAAGATTGCCCTAAGTTAAGCTTTCATTCCTGAGGACTTCACAAACACATCCGTGTTATTTATTTGTTTATTTATTCATTGGCAATCATACAGAAGTGGTTTGCCTTGTTCTGGGATGATGAACCTTATGTAACAGGTTTGGGACTCTGTCCATCTGCAGCAGGATAACTTTGAAAACAGAATTTGTTATGGGGGAAGAAGCTGGCAAAAGAAAGCTCAGATTTCTTTTTGAAGAAAGAAAGAATCAGGCGGAGGGCTGTGGGAAAAAAAAAATCTTAACAATTTCCCCCACTGTATCGCCATAGGAAAAACAGCTGGGCAGAGGATCAGAAAACTGCCAGTCTTCCATCACAGGTCCCCTGCATTCTAGTCACCTGATTCAGAGCAGACAGCCTGCCCTGCCCTGCCCTGCCTTGTGAGAGAACTCATAGAAACCCAAAGCTCATGCACCTGCCACAATTAGATCCATAACATACAAACAGAAGCAACATATACACATCCACCTGATCAGAAATTCTCTCTTATACATGCACACAAAATGCACGCATACCCCAATTAGTCCCTGGAGAGAAGGTGCACACAAACAGAAGATGCTACTTCAGGACACAGAAGAAAATGCAGACCCTTCCTATGGCCTTTACCAGTAAAGGGACTGGAAAAATCCCAGAAGCTCTGCTCTGTGTGTTTCCCCTCCCTTTTAGGACCTCAGAGGAACTCTCAGCATTTTCTGGTGGCTTCCCATGCAAGCACCAGCCAGCCCTGACTCTGTTTAGCTTCCAAGCCTGGATGGGTTTGACCAAGGTCAACAGTAGATAGTGATCAGAGGAAACAGTTCTTTTCCCCCTGGCAACAGGTATTTTAGGAGTTAGTTAGATGAGATGAGAAATGGATGCAATACAATAGCACTGGGTGCATATGTGTCAGGTTGCTTCCTTCTGTCCCCCAGAAAAAAAGAAGGGATACAGTTAGTAGAATTAGCTGAAGCTGGGTAAGGTAGGCAGGCCATACCAACGTCACAGCGGTTCCCTCCGTAGCTGGGAAGGCATAAGCATGTGAAAGTGTGGATGCCATCGACACAGGTAGCTCCATTCAGACAGGGGCTGGAGTGGCACTCATCAATGTCTGGAAGAAATCAAGGGCTGCCATTAGGACTTTGGCTGGGCAGAAAGTCCACAAGAGGAGACCCGCTTTTCTTGGTTTAACCAGAATATAGAGGAGGGAGCGAACTACAGGATTTGTAGAGGCAACGGGACACATTTGGATACTGGGGCCAACTGAAGCTGCAGCCTCCAATGTGGAAGAAAATGAATGGGAAAATGGAAAGGAAGAATGTCCCAACCATAGAAAAAAACTTGGCAACCACCTGGCTACCATAATATTGCAATGACTACCAGAACTTGTATGTGAATTGCAGAGAAATCACTACTGTTCACATTTGGGGGGGGGGGCAGCTGAGTTACATGAGTGGAGATATAATTAAGAGCATCTTTCTCTGGCTTGGTGGCCTTCCAGCATGTCAGACTATAGCTCCCGATGACCATAGTGCATAATTCTCAAACTTGATGGCAGTTAATATCCAACCCATTTGGAAGGCATTGGATTGGGAAAGTCCAATCAATGGCCTTTATGTTTGCTATAGGATACTGGGTACACTTCCTGGAAAGTTTGTGCTAAAAGGTCTGAAAGGGGCAATGAGCAATGGGCAGGTAGTTTGATGTTATGCTTATATTATTTAAATATGATTATTTAAATACCTTTAAATTTAGGGAATATTCTGTAAGAACATAGAGCCTATCTATGAATATATCGACAAGTTAAAAGTTTAAAAAGGACTAATATGTAATGAACATCTGAGTTCAGGGAAAAGCGAACTTGGTTAAGCCTTGAGAAGTAACGGTCATTAAATAATGAAAATGTCTGGTATATACAAGATTATATGTTGAGAAATACAAAAATAGTACCTTAGCAATCAGGCATTGTATGTACAGGGTTAGTTTAATTCATCTAAATCAGATACATAAGCAAGAAAGCTTTTAAATTGTGTTTACAGTCATTCAACAGTGTGTGTGTGTGTGTGTGTGTGTGTGTGTATTTTGCCAATAAATTATCTGTCTAGTTATCTGCCTAGTTAAGCAACTCTGGCTTGTGGTTTTCCAGCCTTCATCCATCAGCTAATGAGAATAGTTGTAAAGTCAAAGAAAGTCAAGCCCAGACAGAATTCAATCACGCTAAATTGTGGGAAGAGTGGGATATCTTTAATTAGTAAAAGCATCAAAATATGGATAATGACCGATTTCTCATGCTTGGTCCACCAGGGATCTAATTTCTTTAGAACTCAGCAAAGCAAACCCAATAATCTAAATGCACTTAACCCAAACATTGAAGTATAAATCATTTTCTGACCAAGCAGCATAAGGAACAATAGCTGAAACTCCCCAACACGGTTCCCTGAGAAGACTCAACTGTTGGCTTGTGACCATGCCAAAGACAGGAGAGTTGGGCTAAGTGAATGGTCATTGATGATTGCCCATCCTGACAGATGGCTAAGATTGTCTCTTGGGCCCCTATAAATTTGCTTGCTGACCAAGAATCTCATACAGGCAAACCAGAGTTACCTTCAAAATATCAAGTTAAATTGTAGTCAGATCTGTGTTTTGTGAGTCTGAAGGCTTGAGTCCATTAGAAATGTACTTTTCTGCTGCTTTTCTGATTGATGAAAAAGACAGTAGAAACTGCCTGATGGTGTTTTCTTAGCTCAAGAAAACAAATCTAATGAGCGAGGAAACCATTTTAATTGTATGAAGAAAATATTCAAGGCTATCAAATGGAGTTGGCTCTCATTTATCTTTGTAAAGGAAATAGTACATTTATCCTTGAAATATTTGTCCTTCAGCTTCTGAGGGGGTGAAAAGCTTTAGAAATGTTGATCCTGAAATACTGATAATCTAGAAATTATCCCCACAGTACAGCTAAAAAAAGGTTAGTATCTGCTGCAAATATATAGTCAAAGATGGTGACCTAGGTAGGGAAAATGTTTTGCAGAAAAGAAAAAGAATATATATATATATATAACTATATATTCATATTCACTAGTACTGGCAAGGCACAAGGGAGAAGATAGTGACCACGTTTCCACTATGGAAAGTCTAGGACAGGGAATAATCAGGACTAGAAATTTTATAAAAGCTCCCAATGAGCTGTCCAGGGTGCTGAAAACACTTTCCACTTGACCAAGATTCTGGCCTGTCTTGAAGTTCCTGTTCTGGTATCTAGGTGTTTGAATTTTGAATGCACTGCAAGATCTTGCTTTCTTTATCAGCTGGCTCTACCATTTACCTTCTATAAATTCTGCTTCCTGAGACATATATCAATGGTCACTGGAGGCTGCAACTTTGCTTCCTGGGAAAATCATCACTAGAAATGGAATGACCCCCAACATTCCCAACCTGGCAACCTCCAGATATGTGGACTTAATTCCCAGAATTCTCAACAATGCCTATGGAATTCTGAATGTGTGTATGTATGATGTCCACACATCTGAGGAGCACCTAAGTTGGGGAAGGCTTCTACAGGAAAGAACAATTCTAGAAAGTTTGCTCCTAGCCCTTGCCAGAAAGAGGTTGTCCAGTTGCCCAAGACTGCGGAGGTAAAGAATTATCAATTAATTGCACAGTAAGGGGGATATTTTTATATGTGGCTTGGGACTGCATTAATATCTGTGGCTTGTAGGATATTTTTAAAATAATAAATTCTTAAAATAAATACACAGCAAACAGTGCAGAACAATATGGGTGGTGGGTGAAGAGTTTAGGCATCAATCTATGGGGTCAGAAATACATCTCTCCCCCCAGAAATGAACTTATGATTTATGGTTTTGATGATTAGACAGAAAGAAGAGATTATAGATTTCTTTCTCTTTCTAGATTATAGAGAGATGTTGTAACCATAGAGTAAGAGGTAAATTTATAATTGTACC